CTATGGAAGTAACTAAAGTAAACTAGTCTAGCAGTACAAAATTTTAAAATTAATCTGCTTGTTAATTTAGTGACACCACTCCCTGTACCACAGAACAATAAATACAGTAGAAGCGCTTAGTTTGCGTGGTACGTATGCCAACACTATGCGAAGTTCCACATACTTGAGCTCAGTCAACCATTTCAGCTTTGTACGTTATGGTCGTGTCAATTATCTCGCGCAAAACCTCGAAAATCGTAGAAAAATGCCTTATTTATATTTTGATACCTTGGAGTGGAAAAATGATAGTTGCACTTGTAATATTAGCTATGGTGGTGTTTCATATCATCGTTAAGTCTTATTTAATTTAATTTTAGATTATCAAGTTACAAGAAATGAAAGTAAACTGTATACCGCTGCAATATGGTCGCTTCTTTTTTGGAGAATTAAGTAAACAACTCGAGTTCGTGTATGTTCAGCTATTTACCGCTAAATGACAGCACATTGATGGAAATTTCAGTATAAAATCAAAATGTAATTTGACCTTTCAACGATATGCCGAATTTGTTTTGCAAGGCTGCAAACTTGCTGATTGGCGCGAGAGCTTGTATTGAAATCGGAGCAAGCGAAGGAAGCTAAGATAAAAATAGATTCCATAGCGTAGCGAGGTTTTCAACTCACGAGACGCAAAACAACTTTGCTGCCGAGCGAAACAAACAACTTTTCACCTAATCTATAGCTACGAATAAAAAAACCGACCTCAAAAGTACGTGGAATTACGTCTATTTGCTAAGTTTTATTGAAATATCCCCTAGTTCGCCACTATACAGGACTTGACACTGGAGATAATAAGAATAGGTTTTCACTACGACACTACTCAAAGTATATCGAGAGAAAAACGCCTTGAATTGGAGAAATAGCAAAATCAACTAAATAATTGCTAAAAGTAATTGCTCCTAAATTAAAGTTAGGCGCTATTTATAAAAATGAATCTTCATGCGTGAACAGCCACCCTTTGAGGTGGATGATTTTCTTCAAAATGAAATGGGACCACTATGGAAATACCCCCTTTCCAACAAAAAAAGAATCATGTAAATCGGTTCACAAATACCGGAGTTCTCGAGTAACGTACATACATAAAAAAGAACATACAGTCGAATTGAGAACCTCCTCCTTTTTTGAAGTCGGTTAAAAACAGTTTTTCCCGCTTCTTCTCCGGAATTCGCTTTTAAAAAACGATATTTTCTAGAATTGGTTGTTCAGAGTGTTTAGGTAGTGGATAAAAAAAAGAACATACAGTCGAATTGAGAACCTCCTCCTTTTTTGAAGTCGGTTAAAATGGTAGATGAAAGAAAACAGTTTCACACATAAGTTTTTTCAAACAAAATAATTTTATGTTCGGGTGCCATTGACTTACAAAAGTCAATGTCGGGTGCCTTCTAAATTTACACCTCATCAATTTTTATTCTTCCTTGCACTTTTATTTTATGTGATTAAGTGACTATTGAAATTATTTTAGTTCTTTCGTTTAATAAACAGGATTAGTTGTCATTGTCATGTAAATGTCAACGAAAATAAGAATAAAATATATCAACGGATTTATATTACACAAATAAGTGATGTACGACTAATTGCGTAGATTAACGTACCATTTTCGTTTTTTTCATCGAAAGAAAAAGGTGCACCACAGTTCATCGTCAAGTTCGAATTTCAAAAACCTTTTCCAAGCTAGTGTGCAAAAAGCGCTTTTGCGCGCAGATTTCTAATGAGAAAGAAAGCTATTCCGAGCTCACTAGCTCGGAATAGCTTTCACCTCACGAGGTGAAAATTATTTGAACAGTCCAGAATTTATTATTTCTTTTTAAATTAGAAACTACAAGATTTCATAGTGTTTTAAATTATGAAGGTGCGAGTTTTGGCGACAGCGGTCTGATAGTAATCAAGTCTACTTCCATTGTTTTTTTTTCTTATAAAAAAACTACTTTAGTAATTGTAAAATCCTACGGTAGAAATAGGTAAGGTGGCACTACTTCCCTGGATAAACTCTTTCACATGGAGCTCTACTGCTACTGGGTAAAATAAAATTACACTTCAAAACGTCGTTTTTTAAGCTACTGCTCATTCACTGTGCTGACTTACCCGTGAAGAACGAGCAAGAAACTCTAGGTGTTACACTTTTCAAATAAACTTAAATGCTATGGAATATATAATAATACACTTTGAATCAAATTTGTGTGGAGTCTATAGCCATGTCGTCTTTCCATCCATAAATTTTTATCTAACACGTATAGTCTTCAAATTTCTAATAAGACTTGCTATAGACAAACACCAACGTTTTGTACCTGCCAAGGTCGTTTTTAAATCAATGATATATGGTTTGGTATAGAAATGGCTATCAATAGTTTTCGGTAAAATATATAAATCAAGTTGGTAGAGTAGTATTACATCAGCAAGATTTTTCGGCGTTTTCATTTGATTGTTATCACGCATATTTATTTTATTTGCAAAAAAAATCCGTAGTTTTGTAGGTACCTAAATAATGTATGTTCATATTTTGATTAAGCCATTAAGCCCATTTTTAACCTGCTTTCACTATAATTTAGACTAACACATAAAACAACAATTCCTGCATCGATGGGCATTTCTGCAACTACTGTAGTGCGCGTTACAAATCTCTGCACAAAGAAAAGCCTCCATAAAGGATTGAAAATTTTTCTTGTCAATAACCGTATAACACGGACTTTGCAGCCCTGGTGCAACCCTGCCGCCTGCAGCAGTCAGCTTCTCGTGTGGAGGAGTACGTCGGCACTAGACTCACCGTCAGCGGTTACGGTCTTACCGATGATGCCGTCAACGGTAAGGCCCTAGTCATGTAGCTTTACATGAGCGAGATTACTACCACATATCAAATCGAATCGACAACTGAATTATAGTAAGGTCCTGAATCTACCCCCTAGTTCGTCTTCATCGGCGATTGGTAGTTTGGTAAGATCGGTTAGATGCCTACTGTCAATTTGTTAGTATACTCAGTGGTTGATCTGACTAATCAAAATTGTCTTCATCCTGTAGTGCCTCTCCAAGTAGTAAAAATTGGTCACTAATTCTGCATACTGCCGTAGACTCGCGCGAGGTGTACTAATTTGCCTGAGCTCACAACTCCTATCCGTTCCTTAATGTTATCAAGCAACGCCTTTCTGTGAATGAGGCCTGGCTCTCGCTGACGGGACGGTTCGGCAGAGGATCCTTCGGCTACATGCAAGTGCAAACTGATGGCAATTATGCCACGGTATCCCTAAACACACGCGGCATCCTTAAGCATGTCGAATCATCAACATACAAAGCTAAGCTAAGAAAATCTTAAGTAGTGACATGCTACACTGTGGACACACCCTGGACACTCTATACAACGGTCGAAAATTATTTACCTACTACTACTACATATAGCAAGGCGCTATCTGCACATGCGCAAATGTGTGCGTGAAGTGGCAGGGTTACCCATCACTTGCTCGTACTATTACGTTAATTATTACATTAGTTATTACGTTAGTTAGTATTAGGCAAGAAAGCGAGAATTCTAACGCGATACTGTTATCTATAATTCTATTATAGAATCCTAATATTTACACATGTTCATTACGTATTTATATCATTATTTTACTAACTAGAATAATATTGAAGATTTATTTAAAAATTATATTAAAAGCACTTAAAATGTTATATTTTGGACATATACCTTTAAATAAAGTAACCAAAGCATTTGAAATTGCGTGTCCAACTAATTAGGTATATTCACTACGTAATATTTATCAGCAACACATATGGAAAATTCGAGAACCCTTGTCTAGCTCACGAGGCTATGACGTCTTATTATATTGATATATAAATCTGTATTATATATTACTCTGCACTAAAGAAAACAATAACTGAATGAGTCTCAGACATAAATTTTTACTTACTTCGTTTCATCTTTCAAAAATCGGAAGGAACTCCTCTCTTTATCCCGTTTGGATGATTATAAACAAAAGTATACAAAACAATTCACGACATGAATGAAAACTATATTCAAATATCAAAGCCTTGTTCAGTCAACGTGACCGTCAATGTGCGGGGCGTGGTGCGATATTTAAAGCTAGGGAGGGGAGGAGAGTGTCCGTTCTCGTTACTTATTTGTTCTCTGCTATGGATACGTGCCGGGGTGAAGGGCGGCAGAAGGGCGACATATCTTACATAGCTTAGCGGAATCGTTGGGTAAGTTTAGTAGTGAAACGGTATGAATAGATTCCCCGGCTATGTACGCTAAGCTTAGTAAGTCGCGGTGTGACCTGCGCTTTAGGCAAGCCGAAGAATTCTGTCGCGACATCGTGCTCGTGCTTTTCCTCGCCCCGCATATTCACGTAGTCGCACTCGGCGGTCCAAAGTACTCTGAAGGTTGCCGAAGCATCCCCAAGGCTGCCGAAGCATTCCAGCCGGCTCGTTGCGTCGTGGCGTCGTTTTTGCACATACGACATTTAAATTTCGTCTACAAGCCATAGCTTTACGGTATATTACCTTTCGTCAACTAGAAATCAGTCAGTGGGAGTCGAGCCCTAGTGTCCTTCTTCCGGCAATATTTTCCACCTAAAGGAACTTACGGCAATCTGTTATCTGTGATGTCTAATGACATAATCTAGATGAGAAATTTTTCTGCGTGTCATGATCAGTAGATGGTAGGGTAGTAATTCAGTCAATCCGGCTGATCCCCAACAATTGAACAAAACAACAACAAACAAATTGAGATACGTTATAACTGCTTCTTCTATGGATTTTAGTTGCAAGACTGTTATATAAGCCCTGTCACACTCAATAGGTGGTACGTCAGTAGAACACTTGCGGTGGGTGTTCCTGCGTGGTATCTCGCTAGCAGAATGCCGCACGTGGTACCCAACTAGCCAGGCGATCGTCGAGTCCACCGTTTGCGCCGAGTATTACAATCATACCTCGCAGTCTGCTTGCCAGGTACGCAATAGCTTATTATCTCGTGTTGAAAGTTTGGAAATCTTTTCTGTGATATCAAGCGCTGGAACCATTGACTTACAAATAAATGGACGACGGGTCTAATACAAAAACCACGAAAAAAATGTCCCAAGTCAACCTATTCGAAATTTAAATTGTAATGTCATCGCAGTATCGCGCTGTCAGTAGAACAAATGAAAACTGTCGCGCTCTGTATACGATTTTAGCGCCTTACAAGGGCGGACACTTTTTAGCGCGGACCCGACGTCCATATAATTGTAAGTCAATGGCTGGAACAAACAAGTCGTGCGCCTGGTGGTAAGCAAGATGCCTACATAACATTTGCAATGCCACTCTTTAATCGCAAAGATCTCAGAGGCACTGCCACTACGCCCGTCACCGCCCAAATCCTTCAATACCGGAACGCATTAACGCTCTCATTACTGTTTTGTAGCAGACATGAGTACAGCAGCAGTACTTCTCTGGAAGAACTCTTTCTCAAGAAACGCTGCTGCTACTAAATTGAAAATTAAGTTGAAAATTGTCCCATAAAAGAGTGTAATTCAGATTGTTTCCGTCTCTTGTCGGCTTTACGCCGTGATATAGCAACATACATATAAATGTGATCGCTCCCCCCCGCGGCTGTCACTGTGACAACACGTATTTTGGTCAGCTCTGTGTTTTAAATTGAAAATCATAATAATTAGTACGTATTGTGAGTTGTCCATGCAAAACATCAATATGTGTACCTACTATCTAAATTTTTAACCATTGGATTCTACTTGGAAACGATAAAACTAAAGGTATTTATTGCAAAAGTGTTTCATAACCTAAAAACTACGCCTGGAGTTTGACGGCAATTTTTTTTTCCATAGTACGTGTATCGTACGTCTACTCTGCCACCTGCTGGATATGCATGATAAGACTTACCGCGCTCATCCGCTAAGCCATCTGTGATTTGAACGCTGAACTTGTTAATTAATGCACCATTCTGCCTTTGCGCACCTTGGCTTGGGGAAGTATCTTTATAGCCGCTCAATAGGTGGCGCATAAATCGGATTTGCATGAGTTAATTCATAATGATTAAACGCACTCCGCCTCCTTCGCCTGCTGTGCAAATTCCGGCAAACAAATCAGCTACTTCCGGTGATAGTTCCAATATCACTCACCGTCGTAATAAAAAAGATAAAGAAAGCTACAGCATGCCTGAACATTCAGGACAATTCATGGAAGAAATGAAGAAAATGTTTGAGGATTTAAAAGTCCAACAGGATTCGAAGTTCGCCTCTTTAAAGGCATTAGTCACCGAAATAAGCACACAAAATGCAGGGATACAAAAATCTATCGATTTCCTTTCGAATAGATACGACGAGGTTATACAAAAAGTGGAAGTACTTCAAAATAATTACGATAAATCTCAAGATTATATTAGATTACTAGAAAACAAAATTGAATTTCTCGAAAAAAAGGAGTGCTCTACTTCCATCGAAATTAGAAATGTGCCAAAATTACCGAAAGAAAATAAGGACGCATTATGCAGGATCGTGAAACACACCAGTGAGTTGATTAAGTGTAAGGTCGACAACTCAGCAATTCGACATATTTTTCGAGTAAAAGCTAAAAACCCATCCTCAACTCCATCTCCGATCGTGGTAGAATTTACAACTTCATTTACAAAGGATATAATGATAAGATCAGCTCGAGAATACAATAAGAATCACTCTACAAACAAACTAAACACCTCCCAATTGAAAATCGAAGGATCACCTAGACCGATCTACATAACCGAGCGTCTTACATATAAAACAAATCGTCTGTACCACCTTGCTCGTGAACTGGCTAAGGAACAAGGTTTCGCGTACTGCTGGACTACCAATGGACTAGTCTATATACGAAGAAAGGACGGAGCTACTCCAATATGTATTAAAACTGATAATGATCTCGTAACCCTGAGACAGTCAATTTGACTAAACTCAGTACTAATAGGAAACATAGTTCTCTTTTCATCTCATACTACTCTTTTATGTTTAAAATTTATTTTTAAATTTTCATTTTATGCTTACGTAAATAATTTACACATATTGTTAATCTACCACACACAGTTACTAACACGAACTCACACTCAGACACACACACAAATACACACACAGACACATATACAATCACACACATCACCTTTTACATTTAACATTACTTTTAACCATTCTGTATCTCGCATATTGAAGTTTACTGCGAATACTCATTCAATTACTCAGCTCTACTCAAATCATGTTATACCACCCACTACTACTCTTCTCCTTGCTTATAAAATATTACATATAACATCAAAGTTGATAACCTAGTAGAATATATAGACTCTATGTCTATCTGTGACTCGGCTGTATGTTGTGTGGACGATTCTTATACATTGTTTGCAAATAGTAATAAAAGCTTAAAAATACTAAATCAGAATATTCGCAGCATTAACAAGAACATGGCAGGTCTCTTTACAATTTTGCATAGGAGTGGCCTTGATTGGGACATTATTGTCCTAACTGAATGTTGGTTAAATCACGCACCAAATATTCCTATCCTTAATGGTTATACCCACTATATGACGACCCATAATTATACACAAAATGAAGGAGTTGTCTTATATATTAGTAATTATCTAAGTGTAGTGATTGAAGAACCTCACTTTCTGGACGCAAATTGTTTAACGATTAAGGTTAATAATAACACACTAATAATCTGTGTTTATAGACCACCTGCTCAGAATGACCTTTCAAATTTTTTTCAATCACTGAACAACACTCTCACGGCATCATCTAATTTTCATAATATCATACTATGCGGCGATATTAACATCGACATTTCTACTGATAATCATGACAGACATTCAGCTTACTACTTAGATCTCTTAGCGTATCACGGTCTCCTACCTGCACATATTATACCCACTCACAGTAGTACCTGTTTAGACCATTTCATGATTAAATCTAATTTATCTGCAAAGGTTTTAGTAGCCGATTCAACATTAACCGATCACTACACGGTAATGTTTAGACTTGCTCTTGATTGTGGTAATAAAAGTACTCTCTATACCCTTACTCGTACTAATTTTGCAAACCTTAGCTTAGACCTAAATAAAATAAACTTTGACATAATATATAAACAAACTGACCCAAATGTAGCCATGACAATTTTCATTAGTTTAATTCAGCAGGCTATGGAGGCAAACACAATTACTATTCATACATCTAAACGTAAACGTATCATCAAGCCCTGGGTAACTCCAGGGCTATTGCGGTGTATGAGAAATAGAGATAAGTTGCACAAAAAATGTAACCTGTCGCCTAATAATGAAGTGCTAAGAGTAACTTATACTCGATACCGTAATTTCTGCAATTTCATTTTAAGGAAAGTTAAACAGGACTACGAAAGAACAGAAATTAAAAACGCAGAGTCAAATAAAAGAAAATTATGGCAGGTAATTAATAAGGTTACAAACAGGACTAAACCTAAAATCTCAGCTAAAGAATTAATTACTCCAAACAATTCAGTCAACGATATAAATTTTTATTTTGCAAATGTTGGGAAGTTTTTGGCAGAAAAAATTTCAGTCAGTTACAGTTCACAGGAGTTTCAAACTATAAATCCTAATACTACTTCCATGGTACTTCTCCCCACAGATATGGAAGAGATTGAGTTTCTTATTCTGTCATTGAAACGGGATTGTGCTGTGGGTTGGGATAATATCTCCTCTAGTATATTAAAAGATAATATTAATATATTTGTTCCACCACTTACATTTATATTTAACTTATGTATAGCTGAAGGTGTCTTTCCCTTAGCGCTTAAAAAATCCGTGATACACCCCATATACAAATCTGGGCATAAGAGCAGCGTAAACAATTACCGTCCCATATCTGTACTTCCCGCACTATCCAAGATTATGGAGCGAATAATGAATAAAAGGTTAGTAAATTATCTAGAACATAATAATTTGCTTTCATCCTGTCAATATGGTTTTCGCTGCAGCAAATCGACCACTGATGCAGTGAATGATTTTACTAATTATGTTGTTGACAAATTAGATGCGAAACATAAAGTACTTGCTATCTTTTTGGACCTATCAAAGGCGTTTGATACGGTATCAATACCCCTACTTCTTAATAAAATGGAACAACTTGGGATTAGAGATATTCAACTGAAACTTTTCCAAGATTACCTTAGTAACCGCACTCAGTGTATAAAAATTGACAATACTCTCAGTGATGATCTCCCTGTCAGCTACGGTGTGCCTCAAGGCAGTATAATTGGGCCTACCCTTTTTCTAATTTACCTGAATGGCCTCTGCGAGCTTTCACTACAAAATGGCAGAATTCTTGCATACGCCGATGATACCGCACTCTTGTTTCACGGAGAATCTTGGTCTGATGTGTACAGTTATGCCCAGCATGGCTTTAATAAGGTTTGCAAATGGCTACAATATAACATTTTAACACTAAACGCTGATAAGTCACGGTACATCACTTTTAAAATAAAAAACACAAAACTATCCCCATCTGACGAATCTCATATTATAGTAGCACATTATTGTTCTCTTTCATCTCCTTGTAATTGCCCAACACTTCAGGAAACTAATCAGTATAAATATTTAGGTGTAATGATTGATTCCAAATTAAGCTTCCAGCCTCATATTGATTTGTTAGCCAGTAGAGTCAGAAAGTTAATATATGTCTTTAAAGCATTGCGTAATATCACCAATCCCACTCTTTTAAAATCCATCTATATTTCTCTATGCCAATCTATTATTACATACTGCATTTCGACATGGGGCGGTGCATGTAAACATAACATGATAAAATTAGAACGATCTCAAAGAGCTATCCTTAAAGTCTGTAACTCTCTACCTTTTAGGTTTCCATCCCGTGAGTTGTATCAACGGTGTCATGTCCTAACTGTGCGACAACTATTTGTACAGAATACCATTTTGAAACAACATATTATTCTCCCATTTAACGCATCACTTTTGGAACACAGGCGTAAACATATCTTCCCAAATAAAGCTGTATCAACTAGTTATGCTCAAAGATTTTTCAACTTTCTCGGACCTTTCTTGTATAATAAAATCAATAATAAATTATCAGTATATCCTCTAAACAAATACGAGTGCAAAAAGAAAATAACCGACTATCTTCAAAAACTAAATTACGATGATACCGAAGCTCTCCTCTCCATCATCTCATAAAACTCAAGAAAAAGAAAAAAAAAAAAAAAAAAGTAATGTACCACATCCACACCCGCACGTACGCACACACACACACACACACTCACCTCATCCCCACATACACACACACACATCCCCACACACCACACCCACCCACACAACCAGACACACACTCTCGAACAAACATACCCACACACAAATTTTGTTAAATATAATATTTAAATTTCATTCTTATGCCTCTCCGTTATGTACCTGATATGTTACTCGACACCCGGGGTGGGTCCCTGGAGACCTATTATACAGGTCTGACCTAGTTTAGGCTCCAGTCTCCCACAAATGTGATTTTTCTTTAAGTGCCTTATAGTTAATAGACATAAACTTTGTAACTTTGTGGAGAAATAAATAAAATGATTTAAATGATTTAAATGATTTAAATGATTTTAAAATGATTTAAATTTAAATGATCTATAAAATCTTGTACCAGGGTGACAGTGGTGGGCCACTATCTCTGGTAGACCTGGACGGGAAACCTACTATGGTCGGTGTCGTCAGCTTCGGGTCTTCAGCTGGTTGCAACAGTCCCTGGCCCTCAGGTAGGTACAACCAGGACTTGACGTATCAAGGAGGCTAAATAATCTGTATACTCGAGGCCCGATGACTTAAGATGCTAATAGGTATACAGCTCCATATACGTATGTTATACGAGCAAAAATTAATTTCTAGATATATCTCTAAATGTTTTATATAGCATGAATTAGAAAATAAAATTGTGTAGGTAAACATTGCTAAATGTAATTTTGTAAACCCGACTTATTTTCACTTTGACAGGAAAAATATACGAAAAGTCTTAGACTATTTTTCCATCGTCTAAGCAAAAAGTAAATAATTTAAAAAAAATAATGTAATAGAAAAATATTTATATTACATTTTTTTTTTTCAAAATGAAAATTTTTTCATGACTCAGCACTGGTTATTATGTTGTAAATGCTACTTCGATCATACAAATGCTATAATTTTAATTTTTTTTAAATCGAGTGACAGTAAGTTCGTAAGTAGAAAGAATTGTTTTACTTAATATATCGTTGTTTTAGCATACGTTCGACCAGAGTTCTACCACGATTGGTTTACTGAGATAACTGGCATCAACTTCGACTGGAGACGTGAAGACTTCACGACCAGTGAACCAACACCTGTAACCATCAGGAGCGAAGACACAATGGGCATATAAGCCTATTGTTGTTTATGTAAAATTTACTGAAGAATAGTTGAAAAGACGCCAAATAAGATTTCAGATTCTACACAACGTAGAATCAACGTTAATAAATATAGTTGTCAACAAGTTATCTTATTTTTTAGACCTTTGATCCACAAAGTAGTTGAAGCTGCAGAGCCTTGACCACCGCCGTAAAGCTACCTTCTTAGCGGTACTGTACAGGATATACCACGGAGTTTGTGATGGAATTGCATATCACCTTTCCATCCGCCCCTACGTTACGAATATTCCATTGATTCTCACGAGGCGTTTCGCTTCTACATTTTTGTGGCGAACGGCGATGGAGAGGAATTCCCTGCCTGCAAACTTATTCCCTGAACCTTATAACTTGAGCCTTTTCAAGGCGAGGCATTATTTAGGTGTGCATGCTCCATCGTCGATCCCATCGTCACTTTCAATCAGGTGTAGTGGAAGTCAATAGGGAATCGGACAATTTTTCAGAAAGTGTCTAGAATTAACTAAAATAGATATGTACAGCCATGAAAAATAATATTTTATTAAAATAAAGCTTAATATTCTCTAAAATGTGCTAAAACTACGTTAAAATTTAAATAGAAACAAATTGGCGCGCAAACGTAATAAAATGTCAAATTGAACGCGTGACGTCATTTGTAGGTAAACAAGCTACGAAATCAAGGGCAAGGTGTTACTTTTAAAGTTTTTGTGAAGTTTGAAGTCGTTATGGAACGGAAAATATATCGTTGGTGTGTAGTACCTCAATGTAGGAATACTTCTATAACTACCCCAAGTAAACTATTTATTGATGTAACTCGAAAATCCGACATATGAAAAAAATGGTTGGTCCTAGCACGACGAAATGTCTGTAAATTCAGCGAAATTGGAAAATGGGAAATTTAGTTTCTCATATAACACAGGAAGTGGAGACAGGGGGGAGGGTCTGGGGGTGGATTTTTACCGCCAGGGGTTTGGGGGGAGGGGTTTACCCCGCTCTTTGGTGCGAAAACATGATTTTTTGAGGTTATTTTTTTCGAATTTTCAAAAATTAATATATCGAAAACTATTAACGTCCTAACTTTGAAACTTTGCACGAAGGGTAACCCCCTTCCCCCTCCCACCCTTCAAATCGGGCGATGGTAATGTACAGTCCTTCCATCGCATGTAATTTTCCATATCATTCGGCAGCTAAAATTCGAATACATAATTATTACATTACATAATTAAAGGCACTAGTGAATATAACACAACATTTACTATATAATTATTAACACATGCTTCGATCTATGTATCACTCACTGCATAAAGTGTACTTACGTCGAAGTGATCCTCACAAAAGTATATCGCTGAATTTACAGACATTTCGTCGTGCTAGGACCAACCATTTTTTTCGTATGTCGGATTTTCGAGGTACATCAATAAATAGTTTATTTGGGGTAGTTATAGAAGTATTCCTACATTGAGGTACTACACACCAACGATATGTTTTCCGTTCCATAACGACTTCAAACTTCACAAAAACTTTAAAATAACACCTTGCCCCTTAGAATAATAACGCATAGAATGATAGTTTCATATCAAACGAACTGTCACAAGTGAGGCAAGAACCAAATTCATGTAGGCGTAAGCAACTTGTAACTACGCTCGTCGGCACGCACACAAATATACAAATAATGATGCCATGGAATAACATTTCCCTCAAAAGTGGGGAAATTGTATCTTGCTTAACTCATCATTAAGTTAAAGGTGCCTACAGATTTGCCCGACATTGTCGATCAGGTGCCTACAGATGTGCTCGATTTTGTCGATCGTTACTGTCGATCGACAATGTCGATCGACAATGTCGATCAGGTGCCTACAGATATGCTCGGTTTTGTCGATGAAAAACGAATATAGCAGTTATTTGTAAATCCAAGATGGCGGACACGATTTTTCAAAATATGCTATATGGGTATCCTTTTCGAGGTATTTGGGGATGCTCATTACGAATATGGCACTCATTTCTAAATCCAAGATGGCGGACACGAGTTTTGAAATAAATGCAATATGGGTATCATTTTCGAGGTACTTGGGGGTGCTCATGACGAATATGGCACTCATTTCTACATCCAAGATGGCGGGCACGATTTTTCAAAAAAATGCAATATGGGTATCATTTTCGAGGTACTTGGGGGTGCTCATTACGAATATGGCACTCATTTCTAAATCCAAGATGGCGGGCACGATTTTTTCAAAAAAATGCAATATGGGTATCATTTTCGAGGTATTTGGGGATGCTCATTACGAATATGGCACTCATTTCTAAATCCAAGATGGCGGACACGAGTTTTCAAATAAATGCAATATGGGTATCATTTTCGAGGTACTTGGGGGTGCTCATTACGAATATGGCACTCATTTGTAAATCCAAGATGGCGGGCACGATTTTTTCAAAAAAATGCTATGTGGGTATCATTTTCGAGGTATTTGGGGATGCTCAATGTGAATATGGCACTATTTGTAAATCCAAGATGGCGGGCATGATTTTTCAAATAATGGCAAGTTGGGTATCGTTTTCGAGGTATTTGGGGGTGCTCATTACGAATATTGCTTTTGTTTGAACTGTCGTGTTTGCCATCTTGGATTTAGAAATGAGTCCCATATTTGTATTGAACATTCCCAAACATCTCGAAAACGATACCCAACTTGCCATTATTCGAAAAATCGCGCCCGCCATCTTGGATTTAGAAATAAGTGCTATATTCGAAACCTAAAACCGAAAATGCCATAAGCAAACATTAAAGAAAATAACTGTTAAAATAGATTAAAAAATCGCTTAAGAATGCTCCCCTTTTAAGAAAATAAAATATTTTAATATAAAATATTTCGCTTGAGTTACGAAAAGAAAGACATATAATAAGCTATCAAAGTTGTACTGGTGGTGCCAACACTATAGTAGAAACAAATATATACTGTAAATTTGTTGCAATATGTGCTCCAATTCAAATAAAATTAATATAAATAATTATTCAATAAAGCATGAACGCAGAGCCGCTAAAAGTATTATAAAATAATTAAGTGTCCCAATCACTTACAGGAGTTAACGAAAACATTTAATGTTTATTCGAGTAAATATTAGTTCAAAATGCGCAAATAAATCGAAATTACAGGCACCACTAAAATTTACGTAATATAATTATTTTGATACAGAATAGCAAAATGGGGAGAAAAAAAATTCGTTACTTTGCAACACTTTCGTATCTTGTTGCCGCGAAATTGTTTTTCTGTTTTAGTGAATATTTACATAAAAATATGAGTTGAAACGCATTACTTACTTGTGGAATGCGATGTTAGTGTCTATTTTGTTTGTCTGTTGTATTTTTACACCCATTTACCGCACATTTCGTCATTTTTAGCAAAAAATTTTGGAGCTGTTCGCGGTGCAATATGACCTTGAGCACTAACAGCCCGCGCGCTCCTGGGACGCGTTTGGAACCCTCTAACTTGCCTCACTTATGCTGGGGCTACATTAGCGGGCTATGGCGAATATTCGTGTTAACGCGATGAATGTGGCCGGGTTCATCGTGTCATCGCGTAGTATTCGGGCGAAGACGATGTAGTATCGAGGAGCTGTCGGTAAACTGGCGCGAATCAAAGGGATTTGTCGCGCCAATATTCGCTTAGGTGGCTACATCTACGTCAATTCAGTGTCGTCCAGACTTTGAAGCGAGACGGACGTGCATTTAATTTTTTACACTATGGAGTGGAGTAACGAAAAAGTGTTAGAATTCATTCAATTTTATGAAACTGAGAGTATTATATGGAATCCTAGTAACCCCGACCATAAAAAGAAACACATGGTACATGATGCGTGGATTCGAATTAAAAATATGCTCAGTTGGCCTACCACAGTAGAAGAAATGAAGAAGAAAAAAGATTCATTGATGGCATACTACAGAGCCCATCTCAATAAAATTAAGAAATCTATTAAGTCAGGAGCTGGCGCCGACGACGTATACCAGACAAATTGGTTTGCCTTTTCGGCGATGAATAGTTTTCTTCAGAATATATACGACTGTCGCCCGACTATTGATACCCAGGTAAATAATGAAACACGCTTATTTATTTTCAACTTGTATTTATTTATAAACTGATAGACTGAAACTTGCATATGATATTTTCTCTGTGTTAAAACGTAAGTATTTAGTATAGTAATAACAAAAAAACATTTTATTCAGTGAAAAAATGTTGGGCAAACTGATCCCTGACCTGTGTTGGTAAAAGAGCGCCCCGTCTAGCTACCGCCGGAAGAGAGCGCAAAGCAGTATCTTCTTGTTGCTCATTTCTCCATGTACCTGCAACTACTTGTCCATCTATAATAGTGTCTGCAAAACCTTGTGGTATATATATATTATTTGATGATGTGCTGTTTCTTAAGAAGTTGTGTAGTAATATACAAGACATTACAACATTAGAGGCGCGATCTGGTTGAAGTGCTATCGGCTTTCTGAGTACCCGAAATACGGAAGACTTAATTTCAAATACATTTTCAACTACTATACGGGCTTTTGACAGTTGCGTGTTAAATTTTCTTTTAATACTTCCTTGTGGATGATCTCCTGGGTATGGTTTCATTATATTTGTATGTAATGGAAACGCGTTATCCGCCACAAATACATAAGGTACGATGATATCAGAACCAGGAAGAGCAGAAAGACCTGGTATATGAAGAGCACCTCTCTCTAGTTTCACGAATAATGAACTGTTTCTGAATACTCCACCGTCACTAATTCGTCCTTGGCAACCAACATCTGCATACATGAAGCGATAATTCTTATCCACTAAAGCCATGAGGACAATGCTGAATGTATGCTTGTAATTGTAAAATTCAGTTCCACTATGATTTGGTGATAAAATAACAACATGTTTGCCATCAATGCTTCCAATACAATGTGGAAAGATATCATGAAAGTCAGCTTCTTTTTGCAGCCATTCTTGTTCATTAGCAGGCAGCTGAAACAATATTTTTGTTTTATTTCAGAATGTAAGTTTACGGGAAGAGCATGCTGAGTGTGACGATGAAGTAAATGCAGTTATTCGCAATAGTGAAATCTTGACTCCAACTCCTCCGCCTAGTTTAAAAACTACAAATAAGCGAGCAAGAATTGATGTGCCTTCAGAAATATTACATGCGAAAAGGCAGATGCAAGAGGCATTTGAGCACGTCAAAGGCACCGTAAATGACGAATATGAAATGTTTGGGAAATTGATTGCTAGCAAAATAAGAAAAATAAAAAACCCAAATACAAGAGATATTCTTATGAATGATATGCATAATATGGTTTTCCGAGCGTGCATGATAGATCGGGTTACCCAACAAAACGTGCAGCTGCCTCAATCTCATGCACAAGCACATCAATCTCTGCTGAATTCATCGCCATCTCCGTCACCACAGCACCAAACATACCAATCTCCGATCCATGCATCACCATCTCCGTCACCACAGCAC